ACCGGTGAGATTGATGGAACCAGAGAGTATATAATACACTACACTAGCTAGCACCATCCCCTTCAAAATCGTGAGAAGTGTAGTGAACCGCAAGACGCCATCAAAAGTGACCCAACTCAAGTGGGCAACAGCTAGATTGTGGAGCCAAACATGCCACACATTGCACTTGCAAAACACACACCTCTGTATCAAAGCGGTCATCATCTGCCCCATCACCAATGCTAACTATTATCTCCATATAAAAAAAAAGTTTCAGGGTCGAACACAGATATTAAGAAAGTTGATGAAATTAAATAGATAAGGTTATAATTGGTTGAGAAAAAAAAGATAGACAATGAATTTAAATGGTGGAAAGTTGTGATTCTTTGAGAAAAAACTATATGTTTGTTATATTTTTAGTATAAATTCTGAAGGATAAAAATTACTATATGACCTGAACGGCCACGTCCTCGTCGTCCTGAACTAATAAAACCGAAAAGCCAAGACACAGATTGATCACGACACGCTGATGTGCCGCGATTAGCGAGTGGCTGTCACATATCCGGAGATGAGATAATCAACACGGTGGATTGATTAGCTGATTACAACTGTACGGTCCACCCGGCCGGCGATCGTGCCGTCGGTAGTGACCCGAATTAAACGGACGGCGATGCAGCACCGGCGCGCGCGTGCTCTAATTTTTTTTGCACTGCCGGTCAACGGTCAGCGCTTTGCCGATTGATTAATTGACTGGTCCAACTGCCAGTAAGTATACTCGTGGTAGTAAGCTTTTGCTCAGCTGGGAGCTTTAGCTGGACTTAACTGTAACCATAAACCAACTAGTCGTTGTTGTGGTCAGGCTCGGAGTTGAATAGAGAAGAACTGATGATGAGCTGGATTAGTCAGCAAGGTGATCTCCATCACCTGTGTACGTGCTGGATAGTGGATTAGTTGGCCATGTTCTTGTCTCCTTTTGGATTTCGGATTTTCATTTGTATATTTTTCAAGCTTCTAAACGATGTGTTGTAAGAAAAATTTAAATAATTCTTTTTAGTATTTTTTTTAAAACAATCTTTTCACTCTATAGGTGTTAATTTATTCGTTTATACCCTAAAACTGTTATCAAAAATAAGATTATCCATCAAACCATCAATTTCAGCTATCTCAAACGGGTCTCAAACGGGTCATGTATCATAGTGATAACTAGAAGTCACGTTGTTTCCCCATTTGCTGATTATAAGCCATACTCCATTCATCCCAAAAAATAAGAGATTTTGGATGGATGTGACAAATTCTAATAGTATAAATTTGAACATTTCATATCTAAATTTGTAGTACTAGGATAACACTTACTAGTGATAAAAAGTAATTTATGGTTATAACTTTTATATATGTATTATTAGTGATGTAAAAAATAATACTGAAGAGTAACCTACGATAAAAAAATCAAAATCAACTTAAAAATAAAATTAAGTCTTAAAATTTAAAATTTGCCAGTAGCTGATAAGTTGAAGAGCGAGTTGTTAATTGAGTATAACCTCCTTTTTTTTTAATCCGAACTGAGTATGACCTTATAAGAAAACAAAGTGACTAGCAATTCTGTGATAATCAGCAGCATAAGAAGCAAACAAAGCCATTAAGAAATGTAGATCAACCAAGTGCATTCTCATCCGCAAAATAATACATTTCCATATCAATACATACCTCATCTTGGGGAATCGAACTGAGAAAATGTCGAGTTCTAATAAACAAGCCCAACTACTCGAATTTTATTGCCCATATAAAGGCCCAGTAGCATAAGTGGTCGGGCCGACCTCTTGCAGGCTTTAGGCCCACTACAATTACTAATTAATTTCTCTGTTTCAAAATATAAAAACTCCTTATTTTTTGATAATGGAATGAGACATTCCGGGCTTTGCTTACCATTTCAAATTTGCACTAAAATATAATCATTTAAAAATTACTACTTCTACAACTACCTGTTATTCAAGTTTCTTTACATTTCGAACCATGTCTTAATATTATACTCTTAACCTTAATCTCTAAAAAAAATCTAAAAATATTTATATTTTAAAATGAAAGTAGTAGTTAGTTCCACGGTACAGTGCCGTACGGTGGGCGACTAGCCAGTGGTTAATACTCAGTGGCTTTGTTCGGATGGTCTAGCTACAGCAGCAAGCAACAGCTTCATGCAGCCATGTGTTTGTACAGCCAAACGCCTACATTGTGCAGCACGGCTTAAAACGCTGCAGCAAAGGCCTACCGAACAGGCACAGTGTATTCCAAAATACAGCAGATGAAATTACCTAGTTATGCTTTATAATACAAGGTGTGCATGCAAGCACTCAATTAAAAACTACATTTTTCCCCTAATTTTGTTTTTTTAATCCTCCATCCTCTATATCTCATGCATTGTATTTATTGAGTTGCTCCATACAAGGAGGCAATAATAATTCTTTATTTATCTTTATATTTACAATGGTTTGGTCTTATATTTAGGGATGGAGGGAGTAATCGAAAAGGCTTGGTCCTACTTAGAGCGGGTACAATAGACCAACATGTCCTGGCGATAACAGTACCACGTCGACTGTGTTGCTACGCTGGAGGAGAGAGAGAAGAAGAGAGAGTGTGAGCGAGCGACAATTCTATCGCCAGCTCTAGCACTAGTCTCGAGGTGAAAAGCTTAGCAAGGACAGAGAAAATGAGTTATATATGCAAAACTGCACATAGCACAGCGGACAGCGGACATACTCCCTCCGTCCCATAAAAAGCAAACATAGGATGTGATGTGATCTTTTATAGTACAATGAATCTGGACATACATTTGGCTAGATTCATTATACTATAAAACGTCACATCCCATCCTAGATTGGGATTTTATGGGACGGAGAGAGTAAGCTATGGATTAACGATGCATCACCTCTAGAGCCTACTTATTGTATGGGTTAGCTTTTAAATCAACTTTAGATGACCTGGAAACAATTGGAGTTTGCGACGGGCGATATTAAACTTGCTCTTATGAAACTTTGACCACAACCTGTTCACCTAGGTTTAAAATCTAAATTTGACACGGATGTTCACATTTACATTATCATTAATAGTAAGATATATGTGATAACTTTGTCAACCTTGGTTTAACATCCAAATCACATAGGTAGTGTATTCGTGTGTGCATTTATAAAGGGTGATTGTCCGTGCAGGTATGAGCGAGTGCGTTTCAAAACAAAAGAAATATTTTTTATATGTTTATGTAAAGTGAAATCTTTGAGAAAATACATCGAAGTACCTAAACTCTACACTGAAATTTTTTTTGGTACATCTAGATATTTAATACATGGAGGTATTAAATTATATTATAGGAAATATGATACATACCGATACCTTAAAATTATCCAATTGTAAAACAAATAATACGTTCGTTGCTAGATGATTGGGAGAGAAAGCACCTCGTTTTCTGCGCGCACACTTCGCAAAATACTAAATGGTGCATTTGTTGGAAAAAATTTATAGGAAAGTTATTTTAAAAAATTATATTAATCTATTTTTAAAAATTAAAATAGTCAATACTCAATTAATCATGCGCTAATGGCTCATCTCGGGTTTGCGGTGTCCTTCTGTTCGGTACCCTCTTTTTCGGGTCCTCTCCCTTGTTTTCCACACGCACGCTTTTCAAACTGTTAAATGGTACGTTTTTTTTAATAAAGTTTCTATACGAAAGTTATTTAAAAAATCAAATTAATCTATTTTTTTTAAAAAAAAAGCTAACACTTAATTAATCACGCGTTAATGGACCGCTCCGTTTTCCGTGCTTTAGTGTTCCGGTTAGGAACTGGAAATAGCGAACACAACAGTCACCTCCACTGGTAGAGAAGTGGTTTTTACTCCCGGTTCATAACCCCCTGTAGTCCCGGTTTTCCATCCGGGACTAAATATCGCTATCGATCTTTAGTCCCATGTGAATTAACTGGGAGTAAAAATCTATTTTTAGTACCGGCTAGTGTTACTAACTGGAGTCTTTGTTGTTACCAACCGGGACGAAAGATAAAGTCAGGCTAGATCCGGTTGCTCCTTTATTCTTTTCTTTTCTTTTCTTCATTTCGTTGTTTTTAATATATTGATTTCTCTCCATCCCGCCCCCAAAATCCCAAATCAATCATCCCCGAATTGTAAAATCTCAAATCGATTATCACCTCTAAATCCTCAAATCGATCATCTCCAAATACATCACAACTTCTATAAAATTCATCACCAATACATTACATATTCACATCACACACAAATCAAATACATCTCAATCCGAATCACAAATCCTAAAAAAAAAAAACCTAAATCGGCGCCTACGCCCGCTCCCGCGCCGCCCGCTGCCATGTCCCCACGACGCCGCCCGGCCCTCCGCGAGGCGGCCCGGTGCGCCGCCACGCTGGCCATCCGGCCCTCCGCACCCGGCCGCCGCGAGCGCCGCTGCAGATGGGGAGGAGGGGGGAGGGAGAGGAGGAGAGGAAGAGAGGAGTTAAAGGAGAGGAAGAGAGGAGTTAAAGGAGAGGAGAGGGAGAGGAGAAGGAGAGGAAGAGATAGGGTGTGAGGAGAGGAGGAGAGGAGGAGGAGATATGTGTCTATCCGATCCACGCGCACGCCTCTCCGTATATGTCGATCTTATTTCCCGGTTGGTATTACCAACCGAAACTACAAATAGATCGTTAGTCCCGGTTGGTAACACCAGTAAAGCTTATGTTGATCTTTTTTTCTCGGTTGGTAACACCAACTGGGACTATCGGGACTAAAAATTCAAAAAGTACCCCTAAGCTTTTAAACTGGGACTAAAGATGTTTTTAGTCCTGGTTTTAATACAACCGGAACTACTGTGAAATCTGGTTGACCGACCGGGACTAAAGATGTTTTTAGTACCGATTTTTAGTACAACCAGAATTACTGTGAAATCTGATCGACCGATTAAAGATGGGTCCCTCCATTCGTGCTCTTTTCCTAAGAGTACACGGGGTTGCAGAAAGAAACAAACAACGGAGGAAGCTGCTTGGACACCTGCAGTGTTTGCACTTTGCAGTGGGCGAAACGCGCTATATCGTGGAGTGGACTCGAAGTTGAGCGGACTTGCAATCGTGCAGAGCTGAAGCGGTGGGGAATGGCGGTGCAGTCCGCGGCAATCGGCAACCCCGGGATCTCCGACGACTCCGCCGCCGAGCCCGGCCGCCGGATGCTGGGAGCTGCCGAGGAAGCCGTAAACAGGTGGGTATCCCGGGAGGCGGCCGCCGATGGCGGCTACGGCGTCTCCGATTTCCCCGCGCTCGCGGCGGCGGTCAAGGATCTCATCTCCCTCGGCTCACACGGCGGCGCCTACAGCCAACGCGCTAAGCTTGCCTTGGAGGTAACCTGTATGTTCAGAAAATCTGTACCTTCATTTACGCAAGGTAATCTGCATACTATTGTGTGTACACTGTACATGTTTTCATTGGGGAAAGTTTTGGATTTGTTTGATCTAGCAGTAGAAGAATGGTCAGTATCCTATTAGCAGAAGTTAGAAAGGTTGGGTATAAATTCAAATAGTAATTATGAGACCAGTGAAGTACTGTATAAAATACTCAGATTTATGACTATGAGACTGCTTTGGTCGAATTGCAGATTATAATCTAGAATTGATTTTTAAATGTTTAGAATTCAAATTTGTAGTAATTTTAGGGGTTTTTTTTCACTATTTCCAGTGCATCTAGAACTCATTGCATGTTTTTTTTAAAAAAAAAATAGCTAAAATATATTTAAGATTCAAAAAAACGCTTGCAGCATAGCTTTCCACCTTTCTTCACCGTGTCTATTTATTTGGGTTCAAAGCATTTAACTAATAACTATGCCATAGCTATAATTTTACGCTGAGTCCGCCACTAGTAACCAGGATGTATATTCCCAACTGGAAATGTCGCAGTGCACGTCTGAGATGATGCTTTCAATGTTGAAAGTTTAGAAGTCAGCCGCCGAATGACAAGCTCAAAAGAAATAAGATTCGCACTTACAAAGAAATTAGAGAAAACCCGAAATACCATTCTTGTGTAAATGGCAAGTGGTATTTCGGAAAGCTGAGAACGTGTGTCGATCGTATGAGAGCAGTTATTCAAAACTGTGCAGAAGGTTTTATGAACAGAGAGTGGTTGCAGACAAGAGAAAAGCAAATATTCAAAACTGTGCAGAAGGTTTTCATCAAAGGAGCTGCTTGATTAACAATTTTAGAATTCTACGGGATCTTCTTTGTCGTTGTTACACAAATTTATTCAAAAGTGAACTACATGTATTTCTTGCTTTATTCTCTCTTCGAACAGTGTTCTATGCATTCTGCCGATCTGCAAGGGACTATCTATCCTACTGGCGCCACAATGATAAACCCCTTGGGTTGAAGCCCTCCCTGTTTGAGATCTCATTTTCCTTTCTTCAATCCTTATGGATATTCTTATCGTTGGCAGTATAAGATATTACAATTTGAAAACAAACCATTTTCTTGTTCCTGGTGACTTCTTGAACGAATTTCTGGTCAGTTCAGAAAAAAGACATCTGAAACTTTGTTACGCCCACGGTGCCACCATCTTATGAATGCAAGTATTGCCTACTAGTAGTTACATCTCACTGGAAATACTACACCACCATAGAAGACTACACTAATGCAGTTTAGTATCAAACTTTAAGTCCAGTACTAGTACTATGTAGGAAGTATTGAACTGACCATTGTTTTTTTTCTGCTAGTACTTTGTAGGAAGTATTGCACTGACAATTATTTTTTCTGCAGTCTGCAATGGGACACCTTGAGGACGACTTCTGCCAAGTTCTTATTTCAGGCACATACTTTCATCCCCCTGACAACCTCCAAGCATCACTATATGACAGCATTGCCCTGCCTGTCCGATCCTCCTCGTTCTCATAAATAACCAACTTGGAGGCTGCCAGCTTATCCTCATTCACAACAAGCTCTAGTGATGATAGATGGACATACTGTACTGGACACAGCAGAGATTCTTTCTCCCTGGAGAAGGTACACCTGTATCTCATCGACCCTGAAGCTTCAACATTGCTAAAGGAGATCGCTGAGCTCATGATGCTTGCTGGACATGAATCAAACCTTTCTCATGCCTATGGTGAGATCCGTAATAGCACATTGATGCAGTGTCTTTGTCTGTTCGGTGTTCAAATCGATCTTAACAGCTATAATCCAAGAGCTTCTCCTTCTGAAAGTGGGTTCAACATGCTACTAGATCTAGATGGACAAAAGATGGAAATATGGATCCAAGCTCTCAGAGTCATTATTGGCACAGTACTTCCTGAAGAGCGTCAGGCTTGCACACAGATTTTTGGGTCCGACAGCAAGGTGGAGGAGGACTGCTTTGCCAGAGCCACTATGCGTTTTATTCAACAATTATTTGCATTTGGAAGCCTGATAGCCAATGTGAAAGACGAACAGTATGAGAAAGTGCCCCTGCTCGTACAAATGCTTGAGGAATTTCTAAAGCTTAAACCGAGCATAGAAGCCCTCAGGTATGGTGATGCCAAGGACGCAATCAGCCAGGAGGCTGACATGCTTCTTGAAAAGCTCAGGGAAGAAGCAGTTCGCCTACTATTGAAGTTTTCAGAAGCACAGATCAACCATGAGTCCTATGATAATGAAACGATAGTGCTCAACGGCAGCGTCCTATCGTTTCCTCAGTATACCATGGGTGTTATCAAACTTCTTGCTGGTTACAGTGACACGCTCAATATTATTTTACCAGTAGAGGTGGGTGGTGTTGGCACTGTGACTACAAGCCCCTGGAAGAGCTACGTTCTCACTCTGCTCACTCGTCTACAGCTAAATATTGAGGAGAAATCCAAATCTTACAAAGACGAATGCCTGCGGAATGTATTCCTGATGAACAATGCGATGTATGTGCTTGAAAAGGCACGATCTCCGGATCTGAAGATATTGTTAGGAGATAACTGGGTCACTAAACAGCTTGTCCAGGTGGAACAGCATGCAACGGCTTATCTCCGAGCTTCTTGGACTGAACCTCTGTTTCAGTTGAAAGACAAAGGGATCAACTACACAGAGAGAAGTTTGATATTGACAAAAAAATTCAAGAACTTCAATTCAATATTCGGAGAAATAAGCAGGGTCCAGACGACGTGGAAAGTCCCCAACCCTCAGCTTCGACAACACTTGCGCCTTGTTATATTACAGCAGGTTATTCCAGCATATCGGGCATTCGTGGGACGATTTGGTATGCTTTTGAACTCAAAATTCATAAAATACACTCTTGAGGATATAGAGAATAATGTGTTGGACCTATTTGAAGGCTAGGGGTGAGAAGCCAACATGGAAATGTCTAAATAATGGACGTACTAGGACCTCATGTTGTCATGCAGTGAGTTACAAGTATATTGATCAACGGAAGGTAGAATAGATCACATTCAACACGGCAATATGAAAAATACTTTTGAGACTACTTAATGTAATCGTGTACATATCATGTTATATATGAGCCTCTATGACTGGACTACAAATGTTTATCTATGTTATTTATGTTCTTGCCCGTATGTGGGTTTTAAACTTCAGTGTAACAAAGATGTACTAATATTTACACATATTGTTCTCAAAAAAAAATATTTACACATATTACTGTTCATGCTGATGTTATATCACATGGATGGCTGAGGTGTCAGCTCAATCTCTTTCGGAGTGATATGAGTTCATAGCGTCAGCCAGCCGTTCCACAATGTAGCTTGAAATTGACCATGGGGAACTAAAAATAGCAGAAATTTCTCCTTTGAACGGAAATTGCAGAACTTACATGTACTGTCGTACAAGAACTGTCAAATCTTGTTACCGTAACTACGTCCATTTCGTTGATGTGCCTCGATCGGTCCGTCTCACTGTCTGCTTGGTATCGATCTTATCATGCTATGTGAGAGCGCTTGCAAGTTGCAACCCAGCTGCACATCTTCTCGAGCCTGTATTGGAAGTAAAAAATCAAATCTACGTGATTAGATCTTAATATAACGAATCTGTATAGTATTTTGTTTAGATTTGTTATACTAGAATGAATCATTCTCTTATTCAGATTCGTTATAATAAGATGTATCAAATCACATACTAGATTTGTTTTTATGAGATGGATAAAGTATCCCCTCCGTCCCAAAATAGATGTCTTCCTAGAGTTCAACACCCTCCCCCCCCCTCCCCCCAAATTTCCTCATATGATATTATTTCAACCGAATTTTTATAGTTTTTCTTCTTCTTTTTTGAATTTGGCAATATTTTGGTATATTGACACCCTCCTATACAAACGTCAAAAAACAAAAGATTAAACATTGCTTTAGAGTACTAGTTGTCACATCAATCACTTCTAATTTAAATTTATCTATGTTCTATCCAAATTTATTTTAAATAAGGGGTAATATAGTCTTGTCTTTCCAAACTTAATTTATATTAAATTATCAAGAATGATAAATATTGTGGGACGGTGAGAGTAATAAGTAGTTTCATACAAAAGGGGAGGGGGGGGGTAAACTGTCGCCGGCAATCAGAAAATGAGATCGGCGCTATACAGAAATGAGGCCAGCACTTGTGGATTCACTGGTCAACTACGAGCTTCTGCTCTGGAGCTATAGCTCGTCTTCGTGGTCAGGCTCGGAGTTGAAGAATAATAGATGAGCAGGATTAGCCAGCAAGGTGATCTCCATCACTTTTCGTGCTGGATACTGAAGAGCTGACGATAACATGTCCAGAGATAGTTGGCGAAAAATCAGATGAGAGAGAATTAGTCGCAAGTATCACACATGCTCCCATAATATATTATGGGACGGATGAAATATTAGTATAGTACTACTCCCTAAAAAAGTGCGTGTCCAAGGATTGATATATATATATATATATATATATTTTACAGAGAGAAGAGAGCAATACTAAAACCTATACTAAAACCTATAGTAGTATTCATTAACTAAGTGAGTGTGACCTAAAATAACAAAGTGACTGCGAAGTGAGTATATCTCATCTAGTTAGGTTTTGTGTGGCTATGTGGTGGAACCAATCCACTTAGGGTTAATTTCTGATCATAGTTATTAAGACCGGACCGGTGATCGAACCGTTAAAGCACTCGGTTCACTGGTTTGTTGGTTGGACCGGTCAAACCGCCGGTTAAAAGCGGTTCAAATAGACGTGTGTTGTATATGTTTCACAAGTTGTGGCATAGCCTGGTGGTTGAGGCTCTCCCTGGAAACCAGGGTGTTTTGGGTTTGACTCTCAGATTCTGTAGCTTTTTTCCTATTTTCTCTAACTCCACGTGGCGCCCATGTAACCACCCCCGCTTGACGCGTCCCAGCGGTCGAACCACCCCGGTTTTTGTCCGGTTCTGGCAGTAAACCGTCCGGTTCAACTGGTTCTCGCCGGTTTGATTGCGCACCGGTCTTTTAGCTGGACCGGACCGGCCGACGCCCTAGTTCCGGTTTTTCCCTAGTTCCGGTTCTAATAACTATGGTTCTGATGAGGACATCAACACCATCGATACATCCACGTCCCCACAAGTACAACTTCATGGTCCTATTACCCGCGCTCGTGCACGTCAACTTAACAATCAGATGAGTTCCTTCTTGAGTTCATTTTCCTCTTCTTTATACCCCGGAGACACGTGCAGTCTTGTTTTACTCAGGAACGATGGAGAAGATCCGAGGATCCAAAGGGGAGAGGATTTCCGCGGGTTGGATTCGGACTGCAGGACAGCACCAACTTCTGACGGTCGCCACAACTTCATGCGAACTCCGATTTGGGCGTGCAAGTACTTCATGGAAAGCTTATCAAGTCTACTTTCAAATTGATCCAGCCACATGTCCATATCTGTTCTAGAGCGGCTGCAATCGTCGTTTTAGTCCCGACTGCTTTCTGTCCATGGTGCTGCGTCACCTCCTTTGGCCCAATGGGCTGTGTATCAAGTTGGGCCCATTAGGGGCGCGTCCTAGGGTTGGAGCACGACCCTGTGGTTGTTCTTCCCCTCTACCGGCTCGCAGCGCGCGTGTTGGCTAAACCGCCCGTCTGCTTGTAATCAGAACCCCACCATATTGTGTTTTTTATTGTAAAAACTTTCATCTTCATCTAGCAATTCAGTGCTTGTTTTACTTGTTCTTGCTTATTCTTCGATTGCTTGCAGGATGAGTGCCCTCGTGGCCGGGTTGACGCGCACCACAAGTTCGCGGTGACCATTGGAGAAGGTGTATCGGTTGCTAAGGGCAGCGTCTTTGGACGGTTGTAGTCGGGCCGTGAACGTCGTCTTCATCCAATCGACTTATCCCCACCTCTCATCGAAAGATCGGGCCACAAACCCTAGCGGTTCGCATCAAGTTCCAGACTTGATACTAGTGATTACATTTATAGCTATTCATTCTTTTAGTGGTAGGTAACATACTTGTCGACATCGAGACGCCTATGATAACTTTATCAGTCTTAAGATATGTTGGCTTAGTCTTTTGTATATATTTATAGTGATAGATATATGTTCTCAGGGAATGAGTGTGAGCATTTGTATTGTTTTCCTTTAAAAAAAAAATAAGGGGACTAACAATTTTGTGATAATCAATCAGTCCGATTCCCATAAAATTGAAAAAATTGATATTCTCTCTCTTATGGAGCATAAGACCCCATTTGATACAGCTCCAGATATTAGATCCACGAGGATTTGAATTCTGTATGTTAAATTATAGTGGTTTAAAGTTATATATTTCTCCTTAAATGATAACAAAATAATTCATCTAAATATTATTAACATAATCAATTAATCATATATCTATATCCATGAATTTGTGAAGCTAGGAATACTCATCCAAAAGAAATCTTGGATCCGAAGATGTGCCAGACAGGTCTAACTACCATATTTAGGCCCATATAAAGTCCAGTAGCACAAGAGGTCGGCCCGACCTCCTGCAGGATTTACCTCTAGCTGTGTTCGACTGGCCGGTGGGTCCCACGCCGCAAGACCCAAACCCCCAAAATTCTCCTTTCGTTTCCCTCTCCGCGATTCAAATCTCTCTCTCTCTCTCTCTCTCTCTCTCTCTCTCTCTCTCTCTCCGCTCCCAAATCTCCTCGCCATGGCGCCCGCCGCGGCCGTCTCCGCCGCAGCCCCCGCCGGAGCCGGGGAGACGAGGCGACTGGCGGGGGAGGTGGCGCGCGTGCTGGACGAGTGCCGCGCCTCCCTCGCCGTGCACCCGCGGAAGCTCAGGGAGCTCGCGGCGCTCCGCTCCTCGTCCCCCGCCGCCGCGGGCCGGTTCCTCCCGGCCTTCTGCGCCGCGCTGACCCCGCTGTTCGACCTCGCGAAGCGATCCGCGGGGGCCGAGCGCGTCGCGCGCTTCGCCGCCGCGTTCGCCTCGGCCTCCTCCGCGGCGGCTGGGTGCGGCGGCGGCGACGGGTTCCTCGAGGGGTTCCTCAGGTTCCTCCTCGCTGGCTCCGCCGCCACGCACCGTCCCGCACGCTTGCGCTCCTGCCAGATCATTTTTGAGGTGAACCAAGGAAATTCCTGTAATATTTTATTTCCGTTTGCTTTCGTCAGTACTGGTCACTGGAGAAGTTTGTATAATTTTGGATGCTATGTTAATGTTGTGTTTAATTCTGCTATTGTGTTCTGCAATTTTGCAAAATTTTAGCAAAAGAGTATCTAAAAAAACTTTTCATTCCTACAGCCTCTCTTTTGATATAATTTGTTTATTGCATGGAGCATTTCGCTTTGGTCGTAAGGAACCCTGTAATTTCAGTAGTTCTTACCTCACAATTTAGATGGTGTAGTGTAGGGAGGATCGATTTTGACTTATATTGCTGAATTACTAACAGTTGAACTCTTCACGTAGATAATAATGCGCTTGCCGGATGATGCTGAGGTGAGTGATGAGATTTGGGATGAAGTTATTGATGGCATGAAGGTTCGCGTTCAGGATAGAATCCCTGGAATTCGTGCCTTCGCTGTGCGTGCATTGTCTCGCTTTGCGAGTGATGGGGAGGACAGTGACATTGTTGATCTTTTCCTTGAGACCTTTGAAAAAGAACAAAATGTGGTAAGTGATATCATTTTAGTAACTTTACCTATTCTGAATGTTGGACTTCGCTATTATTTCATCTCACTAGGGATTGCTCCATTTGTGAAGGAGGTCCGGAAAGCAATTATTTTGTCTCTTCCGCCTTCAAATGCTACACTGGAGACTGTCATTGAATCAACGCTTGATGTAAGTGAGTCTGTTAGGAGAGCAGCATACTGTGTGCTTTCAACCAAATTTCCCCTACAAAGTCTTAGGTGAGTAGTCCTGTCCACTGGACACTCGATGTAGAAATGACAAATGTATTTGAATGGAATGAACAGTCTAATACTATATAAGTGAATTGATAGTTTCTTTGTTTCAGCATCAAGCAGAGGACAAGTCTTCTTCACAGAGGTCTCTCTGATAGGTCTGCATCAGTGAATAGTGAATGCCTGAAAATGCTGAAGGATGAGTGGCTTATGAAATATTGTAGTGGAGATGTCATCACCCTTCTCAGGTTTCTTGATGTTGAGACTTATGAGGAAGTTGGAGAAACAGTAATGGGGGTGCTTATGAAAGATGGTTCTGTGCGCGTGCAAGATGGGCAGACTATTAGGCAGTACTTCACTGCAAATACTGAGGATGAAGGTAAAATCTAAGCACAACCATCGGTATATTTTCGTAGTCATGCATATTTCCTTTAATTATTATGCCCATGCCTTCATGGTGAAATCTGAATATCTGGTCACTGGCCATGCAACGCACTTCAATAAAATAACCAAACCTAAAAGATAATGCTGAACGCAATGCACAGAACTGAACGGATCTGTTCAGGTATACCACTGACAACAAGTATGTATTAACGGGCTGATCAATTCATTATCTATGGCCCTGTTTCTTTCAGCTTAGGATTATTATAATCCAGATTATTGGGAGTAAGCTGAAAGAAACAGACAACTTATTGAAGTAGCTTATTATAATCTGGAGCCTAGCTTATTATAATCTGATAAGCTCATTTAGGTGAGCTTTTTCCAGATTATTGGGTGAAAAATTACCCACCATGCCACCCACTCCCTCTTTAGACTTGCAAACCCAATAATCTAGGCTCTAATAATCTAGGAAAGAAACAACTAACCGCTTATTCTACTACAGATTATAACAATCTAGCTTATAGTAATCTGACTCAATAATCTAGATTATAATAATCCCAAGCTGAAAGAAACAGGGCCTATGTCAATGGTGGTCATCTAGTCCTATCTCTTTAGCCGGATAGATCCTTGATTCAAGTAGAGGCTGGATAAACTTCCATTATATATAAAAAAAGTCACACTTCTCTTTTTCTGTTTGTTGATGGCACTCTCTGTACAACAATTGCAGCAGAAAAGGTTTCCAATATTCAGCTTATGGATGCTGAGGTTGCTCTCTACTGGAAAATTATGTGCAAGCATTTGCAAGCTGAAGCTCAGGTAAGCACTGTACTTTGCTTTTCATGTGCAATATATTTGTTGTTCATGGTACTTGTACAATAACAGGATGATGCATATACGGTAGTAGTTATTGTTGCAATTGTTTAAACATGGGATGATAGGAAACAAAATCCTGGAAATCACATAAGAAAGAGAATGAAAATGGAAGTTGTTGCTTATGTGTGCTGATTTACCCCTGAACCTGATTATGGACTATTTAGTTTATTTTCACATTTTTTGCACAGTCAACTTACAAACATTTTAAGTTTGTTATTTTACATGTTATGACTAGCATAACGCTGTATCTTTATGACGTTGGCATATTTAACCAAAACTAGCTGGAGCAATGTGTGGTAATCAACCAAATAGCTCCGCAGAGGGTTCTTTGGTGGCAGAAAAAAGGTGCCTCTTGTTATGACTTATGATTGCTTGTCAAGAGATATTCCAGTACAAACACCGGCATGCTATATAATACGCCAAAGTTGGTGTTTGAGTCACAAACAGATTAAAGTTCTTGTAATTGCAAAACTCCTTTTGTTTTTGCTGAAGTAGTATTGGGCCATATGGCACTATTTATGTCAGAGGATATGTTCGAAACTTGGAATTCAGCACAGTAATAAGGTTGTATTGGTCCCATCAATGTATACTGCCCTGATCAGTGCTTTGCTTGATTCATGAAACCAATGTACTGATAGTAAGTAATTATTTTTCAGATCAAAGGCTCGGAGGCTGCAACAACTACAGGCACAGAAGCAGCAGTATATGCTTCTGAGGCTTCTGATAAAAATGATCTTCTAGACAGTGTTCTTCCTAGCACAATATCTGACTACGTTGATTTGGTAAAGGCGCACCTTTCTGCTGGTAAGTTGAGTTCGAAAACAATATAGATTGAGCATTCCAATATGTACAAACTAATTCACCATTGCCTGTATGTTCCATTTCAGGACCAAATTATCACTTTGCATCACGGCAACTATTGTTGCTCGGTGAAATGCTTGACTTTTCTGATACCATGAACCGTAAAATTGCAAGTTCATTTCTACATGAGCTTTTGACCAGGCCTCTTGAACATGAAGTTGATGAAGATGGGAATAAGATGGCTATTGGAGATGGTGTGAGCCTTGGAGGGGACAAGGAGTGGGCCAAAGCAGTAGCAGAATTGGCTAAAAGAGTGCATGCTTCTGTTGGTGAATTTGAAATGGTGGTTGCTACTGTTGTTGAAGAACTGGCTCGACCATGCAGGGAGAGAACTGCTGACTTCATGCATTGGATGCATTGTCTCGCTGTGACAGGCCTTCTCCTAGAGAATGCTTCATCCCTACAGAGCCTTCAAGGCAAAGCAATTGAACCTCTGGAATTACTTCAGTCTTTGTTGCTTCCTGCGGTAAGTTTAACTGTTCTACATTCTTTTGGTTTACAACACTTTGTATGCTAGCATTATTTTGTGCCCTTCCGGATACTAAACATATGTCCTAATGTTCCTCTATTGAGTACTAGTCCTGAATTTGATGACGTTTATCTTATCCCTGCAGACAAAGCAGAATCATGATGATGTACAAAGGGTTGCTTTGAGATGCCTTTGTCTTTTTGGATTGCTAGAGAACAGACCAAATGCAGAGTTGGTGAAGCAATTGAGGTTATCATTCATCAATGGACCTGACCTGGTTAGTGCCATGGCATGCAAGGCCTTGATTGATCTTGTAACTTGGCATGGTCCACAAGAAATAGACCAAACCATTGGAATTGAGTCATCTGATGCTACCAACGAGAAATCCCAATTTACTACAGTAGACGTCTCCAATATGAATGATGACGATCTAAATATTGGAGTTCTTGATATTCTATTTTCTGGGTTTCTTAAAGATGATTGGGAGTTTAATCTTGAAGGTGATAATCATGATAATGTCCCAACCATTCTTGGTGAAGGTTTTGCAAAAATTCTTCTTCTAAGCGAGAACTATGCAAGGATATCTGCTGACTTGCATCCTATAATCCTGGCTCGACTTGTCAGTTTGTATTTCATGGAGGAAACTAAAGAACTTAAAAGGTGAATTGCACATTTTGCACTTTCTGTTGTTTCAAGTTTAGTCTTGCAGCACTCTTACTTGCACTTGTTTCTCCAGATTGAAACAGTGTCTGTCTGTCTTCTTTCAGCACTATCCAGCCCTTTCAGACAAACACAAGGCAAGTTGCAATGCATACAGTGTATCCCAGATTAGAAATACATTATGCAAGTTAACTAAACACAATGATAATACCTTTATCTTTTGCAGAGGTGTGTCTCCAGTGCATTTGTGCCAGTCATGAGAGCCATGTGGCCAGGTTTATATGGTAATGTTGGGGGTAGTGCACATGCTGTTTCAAAAAGGCGCAAATATGCTGCCCAAGCTGCTCGTTTTATGGTTCAAATGGTACAAACTCCACTCTTTTCGACCGAAACTACGGAGCAAGCTAGTTCGAGTCCTGAAAGCCAGTCAACTAAACCAGATATGTTGAACAATTTCGACATTAGTGAGGAAGGGCTTGCCATCCGTATTGCAGTTGAGGTACTGCTGACAGGCTATAGTTCTTGAAATCTACACATGCTTCTAATATTGCTTGATACTACCAAACTAAATGTAATCTGTTATATAATGTGAATCGTACAATTTTGACAAATAATCTCTACTAAGAATGGTGGGAATAAACTGACATTAAATGCTTGGGAAATTGTAGGTAGCAAATTGCCCGGATAAGAAGACTGCAGCTGCGAAAGCATATTGTTTGGCATTGTGCAAGGTTGCTGTGCTTCTGAGATTCCGGCAATCCGAACAGAAGGCAATCAAATGCATGAGAGGATTGATCAATGCATTGGCTGCTTCGGCTTCTTCCGATAAGGACCTTATGAAGGAGCTGTCTCAAATGGCATCACGGCTTAGATCGCTCGATGAGCACCCGGAAGAAGAGTTGCCACAAGATGAAGCTGAAGAAATATTCAGTATGTCCATCGTTTCATTTCATCACCATCCTAACACATTCTCAACCTTTAATCTTACCGATTGTTCCTTGTACTTTTTTTGTGTCTCAGAGAAACTAGGATTGGATGCTGGCTTCAGGTTGGAGACCAATTCTGTGGTGCCACCAACGCCAGCACCACGGTCAGTCCGGCCTCCTCCCAGCAGGAGAAGGGCGAGACGGTCGCCATCCTCCAGCGATGACAGTGACATAGATGGCCAGGAGGATAACTTGCACGCGACGTCGGTGAGCCGTGTTGCGGCCACTCCGGTGGTGATGACCGCGGCTCGTTCGCAGAGAGCAAGCAAGACGGCGGCGATGAGCAAGATGTCTGCGAAGCCCACCGTGGCTGCTTCTTCTGACGATGAATCGGACGACCAGTCCGGCGTGACATCCGGTGATGATTCCTCCGACGAGGATTCGTCTTAAACCTTAGTTTATCTCTTTAGATGATGCTGGCGTTCTTGGCCGAGAGAACCCGGCAATATAGCTATTTAAATTATGGTGATGGCTTCGACATGTCGCTACCCACTCGTCTCTGTATGTTTTGTATCGTGTATGACAAACTGTATCCAAATTCGAGTACATGCAGTATGATTATGCTACAAAAATGTTTATCTGATTTAGGATGATGTTTTGTGTACCAAACGTGCTGTTCGAAAATGGGAAGCTTTCGCTTATCGTGTTATATAGGATCTGCCTGGTACTCTTCGTCTGGCATGCAACAAATGAAAGTTGAATCCAAGTAAAACAGATTACTCAAATTTCTGGCTATGGTGGATCGAAAATGTGATGTGCCTATCAACCCCTGCATCATTCCATACTGATCCATGCACTGTAGTATAATGGGCAGGGGTAAAGAAATGAAAAACTAGAACCAAAAACATCGCTGGCCAAGCAGTTACAATCCAGTTATAATAATATAATGGAGTAGTGACTAGCCTAGAACAAGAATTTGCAGTTGAAACCTAATATTAAAGCTTGAATAATAACTGACATAACACCAGCTATTATAACTCAGCGGTAAATGTAAACAGATACTTATATAACAAACTGCAAATTTCACGCCTCCACCGAGATCCAGGTGACATCTTAGTCGACATTCATTGCCCCGGAATGATAGCTATCCAGCTCCTTGTCCAATTGCTCAGCTGATTTCTCCACAGGTCCCTTCCGAACATAGCCACGCCCACGCCCACGCCCAAAGTTATTACGTCCACGGCCACGACCTCGGCCTTGCCCACCTCTTTGTGCAAAATTGTTACGCTTCCACCTAGAAGTAACATCATGTCGCCAGACGTCAGTACAAGGTAACACGATTACAATTAAACATGCTACAGATAAATAGTACATAAACAATATTTCACACATCTATATGCCCAAAACAAGGTATTTGATGCTTGCCACATACAAAAATACAAAATACAGACAAGCTTTTAGCATGATCATACTCAATGGTTCCTCCCATGTATACTACTATAACTCATAAGAAGCATATCGCAACTTCATTGCGCAAAAACATAAATGGTGAAAATAAATGGCAATATCTAAAGAAGATGTGCGGCAACAAAACAGACATAGCATATAAAGCATAACACATTTAGTGAACGGCAAACGGAACTTCCCACATAAAGGAGTATCTGAATACAAGCTTGCCAGAAGAAGATTGTTCCTAAATGGCCATTTGAGGGGAGTTTGTTTCAACAGTAATATGACGGGAGCAAACAGGAACTACCGGTAACTTTCATTCTTGATACTCCCTCTGTCCCAAAATATAACTTCTAGCATTAAAATTTTGTCTCAAAATATAACAAATTCACCTACATTCTCTTCTCAACCAATCACAACCTTCCACCTACCTCCTCTTAATCAATCACAACCTTCTCTCATTTAATTTCACCTACTTTCTTAATACACATGTAGCCCTAAAAATCCATATATTGAGGTTAGAAACTAAAAGATACAGAATCAGAACCTACCCAGGAATGAAATTAGATGAACCAGCTGCACCTCGACCAAACCCACTCCCACCAGGCCTGAAATAATTAAAAAAAATACATTCCTGATGTCAGAAACAAAAAGAAAAAGTCCCAGCTGGTATAGTTAGTGATATTCACTGGCAACAGGAAAGAACCATACATCATTACAACTTCTCGCTGTCCTCTACCCCTTGCACCAGGGACAACACTAACACGGGGTGCTGAAGGAGCAGCCATACCCAAATCTGCTCCTATCACTTCGATCTTCATTGGCTTCCCATCAAGGCGCACATTATTATATCGTTTTAAAGCCGCAACTGCTTCACTCCTCCTAGTGAATATCACCTCAGCTGAACCCTGTTGAAAAATATCCATCAATATATGACCACAATTAAGTAGCAATATTAGAATTCTATCATATGATCTCGTGCATTTTAACAGAAGCACCTGCATACTTATTTTAAGCAGGAACATGTTGGTTGATCAATGGAGCAAAAGTAGATTGAACAAACAAAAATGTCAATATACTGTATAAACAATACAAGATGAGGTGATCACACAAAGCAGCATACCACATTTTAGACCTCAATTAGTTCATTATGCTTACAGGTCCATGTACCTACAGTCATGTGCTAGACTAAATTCTAAGACAGTGCATGAAGGAGATCCCATTAAATCATAAACTGCACCATCCAGCTGGTTCAAGTAGACCACTGATCTCCTAAATTGTAAAATCAGATATCAAATTGTTTAAGTGGTCCGTACCAGGTCATTAACTTAATAAGGTATTGGCCAATGACATGACATGTCAAATTCATAAATTGTAACATAGCATGGACACATCTAGCTGGGAAAACCACTGGTGATAATCAGAGGTGGCTTCTGCTACCGTTGCATCCACCCCACACTCGCAGCTGGGCCTTATGACTGCCATTGACTTCGCTCTTTATTATTCCCTAGCAACAATCATGATAACTCCAGCATTTGGAGCATTTAGGGCCCATTTGGTAGGGCTCCAACTCCTAAATTTAACTCTAGGAGTTGAGTCTGGAGTGGAGTTGTGACGCAGCCTAAACCCAGATCCACTTCTCTAGTTCATTTTGTGAGAGCACTCCAGCCAGCTCCACTCCCTTTTTGGGTGACTGAAACCGTTTGGTGGGGCTCTAGCTCCAGGAGAGGTGGAGGTGAAGCTGGAGCCGTGTCAAACAGGCAAGACCTTGCAACTACCACTCATAGGTGCTGTGGACAGAGGAAAATTATGAAAGGCTTTGCAAATTCAGTAGGACTGTAGTAGAGGCCATTATCATGTTCAATTTATGTGCAAACCAAGCTATGACGGTACAAGTCAACATGAAATGACATTGGCTGTAACTTTGGTGCGCCAATGACTCTTAGAGCAAACCTTAAATGTATCCATGATGTAGATATGATGTTTGCAAGTTTGGTGACAACTTAACTGACTAGGCAAGGTCAGTGATCCAACGTACAATTTACCTAATAGCTAGTGGATGTATGAGCCAGTTTTTTTTTTTTTTTGGTTGAACCAAACGACACTTGCTCTATGTTTGGAATATAACATGAAAAATGTTTGAATACCAAATTACCAATTGAAAATCAAAAGAACAATGCTTAATTCTGAAATATGCATACAGTACAAAAGACCAAGCTCGGATAAACAGACTTACAGTTGGGCGTCTATTGTTATCATAATGAACAGCACAATGCTTCAAATGACCCATCTCGGAAAAAAGTTCCTGAAGCAGAGTTGTGAACAGAGAACATGAGCTTGAAAATTCCCAATGTGTGTGGAACTGTCAGATTCCAGCATGCATAGTGCAAAACGCAGAGATCCAGCTACCTGTATATCTTCTTTTGTCACTCCATAGTGCAAGTTTGAAATATACAGCTTTGTACTAGATTCTGTCACAGAAAGGCCAGCAGCAACCATGCTGTCCTCAAACAGATCTTGCCTCCATACAATATCCTTGGTTTTGTTGAATGACTGATGATTTTCCATAGCACACATACCCAGATGATGATGAGAAATAGTTAGCGTCAAACCACAAAACCCATCAATCCATGGTACTTGATGAATCAACTAGCATCAGCAAAACTATAATAACCCTATACCATTGCACAAAATTCCGTACGAATTGAAGATCTTATCCACATAAACAAGTATCCAATCAGTAAATACATAGACCATCAGCATGCCAATGAAGGAGAGACGATGCTTCTAGTTTCAAGCATAAACCGGCCAAACCAACACAATTGTGCCATGAAATTCTCAGCAGAAAAGTGCCAGTTCTCAGGGTGATTTCAATAAGAGAAACCTGTCAGATCCTCTCTGAAGTTCCACGGTTACAAAGTGGCAGATATGGTCTGACATGAACCCATGGTCCGTTTCATTTCATTAATTTTCTAACCACCTCTTGTGTAGGTCCCTAATAATTCAGATTCTTGAAGGTATACAGAAAAATAGCAATAAATTTGTCCTTGCCTTGGCAATAGCATACGATGATGACCGAGTACTAACACCAAGTGGCCTTCGTGAAGGCACTCCTACTCCCCTTCCACGGAAGGTGCCAGCACCACGTCCACGCCCTGAACCATAGCTGAACCTTTGGCCATCACCTCTGCCTCGACCTCCTCCCTGTGACCTACCCCTTCCTCTCCCCCTAGAATTTCTGTTGTTCTTAATCATATCGTCCAGTGACATATCCAAAGATGTCGCCATTCTAAAGAAAACCTGAAGTTCAAAATGAATTAAACCCTGCAGTCAGTATAGACAACTTTAATACTTGTCCATGGCTCCATTGTACTGGAGCTGAGCAAACTGGCATAGATAGATTAACTTTAAAAGCATTTTTTTCACAGTTTTTGTTACAAGAAATTTTTTCACAGTTTAACATTAAGAAAAACCGGAAGCAGTGACGCATTCATAGGGGAAAAAATCCAAAGAGAAGAAAAACGGGAAAAAAAAATCTACAAGAAACCTTTCATCCAAAAAGGGTTTTTCATACCATAAAATCTCTATTGGGTGTAATAATTTATGAGTAAATTTCAGCAAACCACAGATTTCATGGTTGAAGTTTTAGAAAACCAGGAGCATACTTGTGGCACATAACCCAGTTAATTAATCATCTTAGTCAAGTAATCAATATTTCAAAATCCTATACACACTACATATAAGACTATAACATGAAAGTTTCAAGTAAATATGTGCCCAACTTGTTATATTGCCTAGACTTTAAATAAGGATGGGCATTTGGGGAATTTTAGTACAATAATACCCAGGTTTATGTGCACACAATACATGGTGTTTTATCAAATTTCCTCATCGTTATTCACTGATTTGAGAAGGGATGGGGATCTTGCGATGCGTTGAGATAATAAAACCTAGGGTTTCACCAGGGGCGGATCCAACCTAGGGTTCAGTTGAACCCCCAAACTTTTGGTGGAACAAACAACAAACTGTTGTTACTTGAACTAAGGTTAAGGCTCTGAAATTAAGAAGAGAAGAGCTTCTTCCAGATCTAGAAGAGATCGAAGCTAGGGTTTACGAACGCAAGCAAATTCCAGACAGAAGTAGTCCCCCGGGGGGAGAGAGAGATGAATTCGAGAAAGAGGATGCTCACCTGCAGGATCCCCTCCCCTGCTCTCCGCTGCTCTGCTCGCCACCTCCCCTGTTCAGCCGCGAGATGGCGCAAGGAGCGGAGGAGCCGAGAGACGGGAGGTTTTCTTTCTCTCCCGTCAAGCCGCCAAGGGAAGGGAAGGGAAGGGAAGGGAAGGGGAAGTGTTAGATTGACCTCTGGCCGCCGAGTCTGAGAATTGCGCCAATGGGCTTTTGGCCCACCCCACCACGCCCACGCGCGTCTAACCGTCGAGGACCGATTGCTTCACGCTAAATTTTGGAAAAGATTTAATGGATTCTGTTAAGAAAAATAACACAGCCAGCCGATGAAAACTTATATAAAACATAGTTCAAAAAGAAATAGTAAAAACTATGACACGACGGTTTAATTCTATCTATTCAGAGTCAGTTAGTTTTCTTTAAATTGTTAGAAAAGTTTGTTTAGTGTCCGATAAGAACTTTATATTTTTTCTTTGGGAGTAGCTATACTGATGGCGTCATATTTTTCATTAAAAAATAGTTAGCATATATTTACATTGTAAGTCCCTAAATTACATATATAATTTTAGTGTATTTATAATGTAAGTCTAAAAATTAGACATCTTTATCTTTACTATTATAAAAATTGAAGATGTTTTTGCCAGTATTTTGGTACGTCATCCGTGTATGAGTCGGTTTTTAAGTTTGTTTGTTTTTGGAAATACATATCCGTATTTGAGTTAGTTTATAAGATCGTTCACTTTTGGTAATCAAAGAAATCATATAAGAAATCTGTTTAAAAAAACTCGCATGCTAATTTGAGACGATCGGACTCCTAACTGCAGCTCATGATTTTCTAAAAATGTATATATCTAAGCGAACAACCAAAGTGAATTTCATCTTAACTAATAAACCATATAACAATAATAAGATTAAAATAAACTTCACCCATTGCAACGCACGAGTATTTTTTCTAGTAAAAGTATAAATTAATAGATATAACTAAATATTAAATATATTAATTTTAGTGTATTTTAGTGTTTTACCTTTAGGAAAGTTTGTGTTATGTCTGATTAGGACTCATATCTACCCATGGGTATAAATGTATACACCCGCGGTTCCTGTAATTTATCTCTCAATCAATACAACTACTCTCGGCGCATCACTACCTTTTTTTCGAGGTTTTTACTTATCACCAGCGGAACTTGGTACCTAACGCAGGACTGCATCGATTTCGATCTCCGACCGGGCTTGGCAATTATATCGGCTATACATTGGTGTTGTTCAAGGCTGCATCGTTGCGACCTTTTGGATCGCACTAATTGATATATTTGCCTAACTATTTATCATGTCTTAGTTAGTCTAAGTCAATTAATCAATTTACTTGTATCGGTCATGGTTTTGCCGGTATCGACTAAATTGTTTTGTCGATCTAGATTAGCTAAGGTATCCACCACCTTGAAAATCAATCAAAGGTTTAATTGATTATATATTATGTTTCTTTCCATACTTAGTGTTGCATCAATTGGGTTTGATCTACTAAATCATGCTTAAAACCATACTCTCTAGCCTGCTTTTTGATTGCGAAAAAGGGTTTCATCGGGTTTCCGATGAGTTATCTGGACGTTGCATTGGCTTATAAGGATTGTGTACAAGTTGGTTTTAGCCGATTGCAAGAAAGGTTTCATTGACTACCTAATCGTTTAGATTTAATGACATTGGAACACCAACCAATTTATGCTTTAACCATCGAATCCACTCATTATATCATATAATTATAAGCCGATTGTTTTCTATTGTATTATACTATTGTTTTATTACATTATTTTTTGTTGATTGTCTTTGTATCTTTATTTACTCAAGTATCAGAATATATATATATATATATATATATAGGGTATATAGCCGATTTTTCAAAACCCTATCGACATCGGCTGGTATCGGACATCGGCTAGAATTACTTCATCGGCTTGTCAGCCGATCGACTCTCTGGTGATCAAAGTATTTATCTATCTTGTCGATTGCATGATCAAACTGACTGGCACACCGTATCTCATCTAAGTTTAGGACCAGTGTTGTAGCTAAGTAAATCTCTCAGGCCGTTGTTTTCGTTGACTTAGTTTGCACCAACATAGATCTGGCACCATTGGGCGAGCGCGGATTTTTTGTCGAGTCTCTCACGCGATGATCGGATGCACTATCTACGTAACGGACTTGCCCACGATCCCCTCAATTCACACACATATAACGGGAACGCTACCCGTTCATTGGTAACGACCGACTTACGGCTTAGCCAAAACCAAACTCTTAGACTATCGATCTTAAGGTGTGTTGAAGGGGAACGAAGGGTGAACTCTATCGCCACTACCGCACCACGACGTTTCTGTCACCGCTATCGCACGGTGATCCCATCACCGATGCCCTACTACTACGACACCGACAAACAACTAAGACCGGCTCTCATGGCTTCTTCTTCTGGTCAGTACACCACCAAATTCCACATAAGAGAAATTATGTGATCATGCATAGCCTAAAATCATGCATACCCTCACTGTCGGCCAGCGCCGCTCTCCCTCCCCCACCGCCAGTCGGCACCTCAAGTGCCACTCTCTCTCTCCCTCCATCACCGATCGGTGCCTCAAGTTCCACGCTTTCTCCCTCCACCGTTGGCCAGCGCCTCAGGTCGGCATCCCCGAATATAGAGCAAAAGTGTGCGATCGGTGACCCGCAAAAGGCGCCTCACGACAATCGCGAAGACCTCAGTGACGGCGATGTCGGCGAGCAATCCGAGACGAACGGAGCGGCTGTGACCGGTCGTCATGTGACAAACTCGGTTGCAAGGCAAATCGGCTCGGAGCTATGGTGACCCCGACGGTGGTTCTTCCAGATCTAGTTGACAATATGCTCCCAGAGATCGGCTGGCGGGGCAGGGAGCAGGCGATCGTGCGTGGGAGATTTTTTTTCATTTTTATTTTCAGTTTATATAAACTCACAAATTAAATTATGGGCCAAATTAGGTGACCTCACACAACCCCGACGATCCGCGGTAGTCGTGCCTTCGCCGCGCGGGAGGAAAGAAATCACCCGCCACCCGACAAGTTCCTACGAAAATAGCCTTCGCTTCGAAGGAAACGATGGGTGCCGGCTGCCGGGGCCGCGTGCCCGATTTGATGATTCGACGCTAGCAAGCAAAACAGCGGCTGCACGGGTGAACAGGGCGCTCCGCTCCTTAATTTGTTGTTTTCCTAGATCGCTCGATCGCTTTTGCTCTTCGCCACGCTACTCGGTCGCTAGCAGCCAAGGTTGTCAGCCGACTCGTATCACAGTATCTTACGATACTACGATCCTACCAAGCCGAAACGATACTGATTCCACCTAGTATCCTAATTTTTATAGTATCTCGATCCTACTATTTATTACTACATGATCCTACGAAATCTTAGGTGGTATCCCGATTCCACGATCCCTACGATAATACAAAATATTATTTAAAATAACATGGTTTGAAAATAATTTAAATAAATATGCTTAAATTTATATAAAAATCAGTTAAATATATTAAAACCAACATGGTTTCTCTTGATACATATCTCTATTTGCATCACATATATCATTACTACATTTTTTTATATTGAATAGCTATATATAATTAGTATTAATATTAATTAAACTTTTAAAAAGAAAATCTCATAGTACCCCAATACTACGATACGATTCTACGATACGATATTACTTTGAGAAAACGATAATGTCTAGTATCCTGATCCTGACCTGACCACCTTGGCAGCCTCCTCGTACCACTGACCTACTCCTCTGCACATTCCAAACCATTTCCTAATCCCCTCGGCCCTCGTCCACATCACCAGATGTTTACCAAAGAAAACGGCAGCTTCTGCTGCTGCTGCTGCTGCTGCTGCTAACATTTTATAACAGAAAAAAAGAAAACAGTTTAATCTTGGTGTCCAACAAACACGCGATCAAACCTATTCGAGGTAGAATTTGCCGATTAGATGGGGGGAGTTGTTAGGGAGGTGTCGCGTCACTGTCTACCTGCACATTTTGCACGCGTAAGGTTTCGTCCACGGGCGCTTGTCGCGCATGCAGGATTATTCAGGTCAATGTCATCTTGCACTCAAATTGGGAAGGTATTTTTCTTTCTCTGTGGACAGCGGATTGCAGATGCGAGTGACAGCCGAAGCAAAGCATCCAATTGTATTTGACCTGACCACAGGGAAGAGCGGAGCCAGTTCATTAGGTGCATTCATCTTGCTGGATGAAGTACTACTCCGTACTTATTTAACAGTAACACAATTGCCAATTTGCCATGAAATCCGGGCCAAATCAGCAATTTCCAACCTGGCGAGGATAATTGCGCTGTATGGCCTCTGATTACACTGGTGGAGAAGTGCTTTTTAGTCCCGGTTCGTAACCAACCGGGACTACGAATCAGGGACTAAAGATCGCTATCTTTAATCCCGGTTCAACATCAATATTTAGTCCCGGTTGGTGTTGGTGTTACCAACCGGGATAAAGATGGCATCTTTATTTTTTCTTTATTTTTTCTGTTTTTAATATTGAATATTGATTTCACACCATCCCCTCCCATATCCAAATCATCACATATCACAGAACATCTCCAAATCCTCAAACAAATCATCTCCAAATACATCACAAACTCTTAAAAAAATTACATCATAGGGTTCTAAAAAAATTCATCACAGATTCACATCTCACACAAAAATGCATCACAGATTCACATCTCAAAAAAAAAAAGAAAAAAAATCCGGCCGGCGGCCACTGCCGCCTCCCCTCCGCGCCGGCCGGCCGGCGCCGCGCCGCCGCCGCCGCGTCGGTCGCCGCCGAGCGGCCCCCCGCGCTGCCGCCGCGCAGGCCGCCTCCGCGCCAGCCACCCGCCGCCGCCGCGGCGCCGGCACGCTTCTGCACTATGGGTGAAGGAAAAAAGGAAGGAGAGGAGGGGAGTTAGAGATAAGGAAAGAAATAAGAAGTTAGAGAGGAAAAAAAAAAGAGGTAGAGGGAGGAGTTTGTTGTGTGGACGGGAAAAGAGGATCGGTACTATGGATTATATAGTGTGTTTTGATTTTTATTCCCGGTTAGTATCACCAACCGGGACTAAAAATAGGTTTTTAGTCCCGGTTGGTGTTACTAACCGGGACTAAAGATCTTAGGGCCCTGACACGGCCTGACATGGAATCAATCGGGAACTTTAGTCCCGGTTGGAGTTACCTACCGGGACTAAAGATGATTTTTAGTCCCGGTTGGTAACAACAACCGAGACTAAAGATCTTCCTCTTATTAACCGGGACTAAAAATCATTTTTAGTCCCGGTTTTTAATGGAACCGGGACTATTGTGGAATTGGGTCGACCGACCAAAAAAGGTTTCTCTACCAGTGTTATGAGCCCACTCTCTTAGCTTAGACCCTGTTTTAGCTTAGACCCTGTTTAGATGGTTCTAAAACTTTTAAATCCCTATCACATCGGATGTTTGAACATTAATTATAAATATTAAACGTAGATTATTAATAAAACCCATCCATAATCTTGGACTAATTCGCGAGACAAATCTATTGAGCCTAATTAATCCATGATTAGCCTATATGATGTTACAGTAAACATTCTCTAATTATAGATTAATTAGGCTTAAAAAATTTGTCTCGCGAATTAGCTTTTATTTATATAATTAGTTTGTAATTATATAATTAGTTTGTAAGTAGTCTATATTTAATACTTTAAATTAGTGTCTAAATACAGTGACTAAAGTTAAGTCTCTGAATCCAAACACCACCTTATCCTCGTATGTCAACTGCTTGAGCAATTCGTTAATGATGATGACAACTAATGAACCAACCAATAATAATAATACATCCGAGCTGTGTACACACGAAAACTGTTCCGTAGGAAATACTCTCTCTCTCCATTCAAATTGATGATCATATGTATATACACCAAGAAAAAAAACTGATAATTCTCCCATACTATATTTACTCTGCAATAAATTCAATACATGTACCATCCCTACTAGCAAGATTAAGATATTGCAGGTTAGTTTTAAATACTTTTATGTATGAATGTATTTATCAAAGTTTATTTACTCCAATGCACAATTAACTTATAGATTTAATGAATGAACACAAATATAATGATCATTTAAAAATAACTATTTAAAAATAACTTAAAAAAATAAATGATGATAACTAAAAAAATAAATGATGATCATTTCGGAACGAGGGGTCCTGCACTACAAAATACACGTCAAAATATTGGTCGTTTGAGGTACATACTACATAAGAGCAAGTTTAATAGTACTCTAATTTATAGCCAATCTGTCGGTGACATGGGACCGGGGGTATCGTGACTAGAGACTTGGGTAGCCGCGGTCACCCACGTGGCCTGACCCCCGAGGGTGACGTGGCCACCCCTCCCTCTGTCTCCCCGAGGGGTCGGGCCGCTCCCGTTTCGGCCCCGAGGGCTGGGGCGCCCCTGTTTCGGCCCCGAGGGCCGGGGCGCCCCTGTCCCCCTGTGGTTTTGGCGCCACGTGTGTGGGTTAGGTGAGCACAGCGGGGCTCACCTAACCGCATTTATAGCGGGTTGGATGAGCGCGCCACGCCGCATTTAATGCGGCGCAAAGCACGCTTATCCGGTCCGTGACCAGTCGCGGTGTGTGACCGGTCATAGACCGGTCAGATCGCGGGTTAGGTGGCAACAGGCGGCCTGTCACACGCCTCGCCCCGTCCCGTCGGAATGATGAGAGCTTCCTGGCTCTCGTCCCTAGCCGGAGCCGGCGTGCTGACTCCTGGAGTTGGTATGTCAGTCCCGGTCAGATTCATTCCAGGCTTCAGCGCAAGTATGGCAAGGAAGTCGCTGGCCATTAAATGAAGATTGAAATGGGCGTCCACGGGGAGAGCGGGCGAGCGGGGCAGGAGGCGTGTGCCCTGCTTGTCAGAAGTCATTTCCGGCTGTAGACTAGCCCTCATTGTAAAAAGCATGCTTCCTTTCTTAGGCAGCTAGAGGCCCATGTGGTGACCCCTGATCAGATGAAAAGGAGGCCCAGGCCTAAGAAGAGAGAGGGAGAGGGGGTGGGACTCTGGCGAACGGGTTCTAGAGCCTGAACTCTCTCTCGCTCTCCGGCTCTATGTGATTCCTTCACACACAGATCCACCAGAACACAGGAGTAGGGTGTTACGCTTCTCAGCGGCCCGAACCTGTCTACGTCGCCCGTGTCTTGTGCGTTTCCTCTCTCACTGACGTTCCTCAGATCGAGGGCGAAGAACCTCACTTAGCGCCCCCGGCCGAACTGGCAAAGGGGGGCCTGCGCGGTCTCCCGGTGAGGAGCCCCACGCTCCGTCACAATCTAATAGTTTATTACTAGTTCCAATTTATTTATAGCCAATCTAATAGACAATTCATACAATAATTGCTTAGAGCAAGTTTAATAGTATAGCCCACTACTAGCTCCAATTCATCTATAGCCAATGTAATAGCCAATTCATATAGTAGTTGCTTACTATACTATCAATATATGGTCCCACCTGTCATACACACATTGTGTCTTGGAGTCCGCGCTGCAGCTGGCTACAAATTTGTAGCCCGCTGCTCTTCTCTCTCATCTTTTATCTCATTAAAATATGTTTACAGCTGGCTAATAGCCTGCTATTGTACCCGCTCTTATTGTACTATTAGTATATATAGTCCCACCTATCATACACATATTACGTCTTGGAGTCCGTAATGCAGCTGGCTACATATCTGTAGCCCGCCGCTTTTCTCTCTCATCTTTTATCTCATTAAAATATGTTTGTAGCTGGCTAATAGTCTGCTATTGTACCTACTCTTAGAGTAAGTTTAATAGTATAGCCCACTACTAGTTTCAAAACATCTATAGCCAATGTAATAGCCAATTCATACAATAGTTGCTTACTATACTATTAATATCTGATCACACCTGTCATACACACATTACGTCTTGGAGTCCGTGCTGCAGCTGGCTACAGATCTGTAGCCCGCTGCTCTTCTCTCTCTTTCTTTATCTCTTTAAAATATATTTATAGTTGGCTTATAGCCTGCTATTCTACCTGATCTTAGCAAAATTTCAAGACTAAAAAAAAGACCAGCAAAGCGATATTCTTAACTTCAGGAAAAAAAGATTATTAAATGGAACCCAGTACTAGTACTCCGGGAGAGATGGTCGTCGATTCTTCCGGTTGGCTGAGGAAAGCCTCCGCGTTGAAAAGGCGTTACGATAAAAAGCGTTAAAACCCAGTGCGCGCACAGGCCGCCGGCCCGCGGACAGCTCAGCCGCCTCACTGCCTCACTTCGCCCCCCACCACCACCACCACCCCCAAACCTCGTGGCTTCCGGAACAAACAGCGCACAAAATTAAAAAAAAAACTCGAAATAAAAGCAACTGCAACGACCAACCAAAGCACCAGCAGAGCAGCAGCCGCCAGCAGCGGCGACCGGAGGAGAGAGCGGCGTCGCGGCGGCGGCGGCGATGTCGGTGTCGTGCGGGCTGGAGTGGGTGGTGTGCCTGGGGTGCACGCGGTGGGCGTGGAAGCGGCTCACCTACATCGGCGCCTACGACAGCGAGGCGTGGCCGGCGGCGGCGCCGGGGGAGTTCGAGCCCGTCCCGCGAATCTGCCGCGTCATCCTCGCCATCTACGAGGACGACCTCTCCAACCCCACCAAGTTCGCGCCGCCCGGCCGCGGGTACGCCGGCGTCGACCTCGCCGGCGTCGTCAAGCGCGCCACCTACGAGCACGTCGGCAACACCTGCCCTCCCTACATCGTCTACGTTGACCACCGCCACAAGGAGGTCGTCCTCGCCATCCGCGGCCTCAACCTCACCCGCAACGCCGACTACAAGGTCGTCCGCAAGCGATTCCCCTTCCCCCGATCGACCCGAATGCCATGAACGGCGGCGAGATTTGGAGAGGGAGGCTGACTCGGCTCGATCCCCCCTGCAGGTTCTCATGGACAACAAGCTCGGGATGCAGATGTTCGACGGCGGCTACGTCCACCACGGCCTTCTCAAGGCGGCGCAGTTCATCCTGGAGAGGGAGACGAAGACGCTGCAGGAGCTGCTGCAGCAGAACGGGCCCGACTACAAGCTCATCTTCGCGGGGCACTCGCTGGGCTCCGGCATCGCCGCGCTCATGACCGTGCTCGTGGTGAACAACCGGAAGATGTTTGGGAACATACCGAGGAGCCAGATACGGTGCTACGCGCTCGCCCCCGCCCGGTGCATGTCGCTCAACCTCGCCGTCAAGTACGCCGACGTGATCAACTCCGTCGTGCTGCAGGTACGACCTCGAGCGAGCGAGCGTGCAGCTTCTTCTGTGGTGAAATGTTGGCCGTTGAATTCGCTGTCTTGGAAAATTTTTTCCCAATGGAGTGGTTGGCGTTAGAAACATTTTCCCCATTGGAGTGGTTGGAGATAGGAGGGGGGGATAATTTGGTTGGAGATAGGAGGGGGGGATAATTTGGTCAATGTGCTTTGCTTGTGGCTGTGGTGTGATTGGAATGTCTGAAATTTTAAGCTGTGCACTAGTTTGATTGTCCAGAACGGAAGGAATCATGTAGCTGGAGCTTGTGCTCTGAAGCTTATAGGAGGTTTGTTGAATTAGCGTTCACGAAAAAAAAGTTTGTTGAATTATGTATGCCGTGTTTGATTAGAGAAGTGACAAAGGAAGGTAGCAATGTCTACCTGTTTCCATGTTCTTGGGTGAATTTAATTCATGTAGCAAGCCAAAGTTTTATTTAGTACTATTATTAGGTGTTTTTTAAGAAACATGGATGATTGCTTAGTTTAATATGCTATCTGTGTCGGGATGATTTATGTCACTTCCATATGTTGTAGTATATCTGTTGCGGTCTTGTTTTAATGCTGAACAAGTGTGTAGCTCATAAATCGAATGTTAATATTTACTAGCATTTAAGATACGTATTATATTGAATCTCCTCTGAAGTTCATACCCTCAATGTACACTATCTTTTTACAGGATGATTTTTTGCCAAGAACGCCAACACCGTTGGAGTACATTTTTGGGTCTATATTCTGGTAACTTTTTCCCGACCACTTTTCTCCAACTACCTGTATAGTTCTACTTTCAGTTAAAAGACAAAAGAACTGCATACAGTGGTTAATTTTTTTCACCAGACCTTTATTATGCCTTGGACAGCTTGCCCTGCTTGTTGTTTATCATGTGCCTGAGAGATACATTTAAGCAAGACAAGAGAAAATTTAAAGATCCAAGAAGACTCTATGCTCCTGGTCGAATGTATCATATAGTCGAGAGGAAATTTTGCAGGTAATTGGTGCCTTTTAATAGAAGCTATTTGTTGTTTCTTATGTCACGCCAGCATTTTAACCTTTCTGCCTTTGTTCGTGCTATTCTAGAACAAGTTTCAGCAATGATCTGGACTTCTGGTGTTCATATTTCAAACTTTCCATGATCTAAATAAAGGGTTCAATTGCCAATCTATTTTTCGGAAAGCAAGCAGAAATGTTAACTGTTTGTGCTTTATAAGCACTAGTCAAGAAAACATTGTTCCATACTCATCAATAGCATCTATATTTCTGAGGTAGTGAGAAATACATAAAAAATATTGATGCGTGATTTTAAATTATTCAATTATACGGAGCATGGGCTGGAGTACCTCCTGTTTTTTAGGAGGTGTAGTTCTCCCTGCAGCTAAAAAAGGAAAGCTTCAGGAGACAAAAGCATACTATTCATCTCTATCATATTAGCTACAGATAAGCAGATGATACAGTTCAAACAAATTTGACTCATTTCAATATCTATGGCTGACATAGAATCCCATAGACTAGTCTAATACAGAGTGCATGTGCTGTTTTAAAAAGTCTAATTTGTGTCCTCATATATGGTTATTATGACATGAATAGATGACAGATTTTCTTTTGGCGGAGAGAGAGGTCAGATATTGTGCCGCATTGACAATAACTGTAGTACTACTCATTTGTAGATGTGGAAGATTCCCTCCTGAGGTGAGAACTGCTATTCCAGTGGAAGGCCGATTTGAGCATATTGTGTTGTCATGCAGTACTACTTCTGATCATGCGATTGTATGGATTGAACGAGAATCAGAAAAGGCTTTAGAGGTAAGTGTTATGCTAATTTGAAAAAAAATTGTGGCATCATTATTTGATTAAAAATCTGTTCCTCTGTTATCTGTTCGATGTTGAATTTTTTATACATCAATCTACTGTTTTATCAGTACTTAGTCTCATGAATTGGGATCTATCAGATTTTATCAACTTTCAGGGAAAATATAAAGAAACTAATGACAGGCTTGGAGGATGATGATTTGTTAGTATCATAATATAGGGGCTTATTTAGTACTTCCTCCGTTTCATAATGTAAATCATTCTAGCATTTTCCATATTCATATTAATGTTAATGAATCTAGATAGATATATGTGTCTAGATTCATTAACATCAATATGAATGTGGGAAATGCTAGAATGACTTACATTGTGAAACGGAGGGTACCATTAAGAGTTTAGCAACAGACCGCCCTATGTTGTTGAACATTATTACTGACATGATGCAACTCACCTTGTTGTAGGCTTAGTGGATCTCAAAACATTAGGTTCTTGATTGTTTACTTGAACCATCAAGCATAAACTTTTGATTTCTACAAAGATGCATGTACGTTTGATCAATACTTCTGATGCGATTTTTCTATGCTCTAAAAGCACAAGGCTGAAAGACAAATGCTATTTTTATGATCTCTTGGTTTATCCATAATCATGGCTGGATAATTAAATTTGAAGTGGGTATACATATTTGATATGAGTATTTGGCTTTGAACCTTTGTCATTTCCTCTTCTTATTACATTTCTTTTTTGCAAACTTTGCTTCTCTAAGACAGTGTAAGAATATAGAGCTAAACTTGTTTTACAACCATGCGTGTTCAGTAGTACAGTATTTTTGGGAAAAGAAATCCTGTTATTACTTATTACTAGCACCAAATTGACGTGGACAAGAAAGGGATTTCAAAAAAGAAAAAAAAATCAGACATGAACATCTTAGGCACCAACAGCTCAAAGCTCCTATCAGCAACATTAATGAAGGAACATGGTACACTAGTGCCAAATTGCCTACCATCATTGTTTTTGTGTTCTTCTCATTTTCCACCAGCTAAATTAAAGAACCCAAAAGAAAGATAAATGTTCATTGGATCTTAACATTTGCCGCACTAATTTGCTAAGTTGCATGAAGAATACTTGTTTATAATTATAGCGACACTGTTTTGCAGCTTATGAAAGGAAATGAGAAACCAACAACTCCGCCTGCGCAACAAAAGATGGAAAGACTGCAGAGTTTTGAGGAAGAACACAAGAATGCCCTCGAGAGAGCAAAGACCTTAGATGTTCCTCACGCAGTTGACTTGTCTGAAGTGGAGATCCAGGAGGGTTCTAGCCCTACGCCGCCCTCTGATACTCATAGTGAAGCCACCTCAGAAGCAAAATCTGCAGGAAGAACCAGTTGGGATGAGCTGATGCATAAGCTTTTCACCAGGGACGAAGGTGGGAAGCTTGTTGTGAAGGAGGACATTAAGGCGAGGAACATTGTTATTGAGTAATACCGACCCTCAGACTTTTGATCTGGTAATTGATTCTTTTGCGTGCATATACAGAAGTTCAACATGAAAATGTTTTTTTTTTGGATCGAGCCATTTTGCGGTACGAAAACTGTCCCGTGTATATGTAGACCTATCTGTGCATTCTTGAATCCCCAAAGTTTTGTTAATTTACCCGTACATGTTTTCTATAGCGTCCCCAAGCAATAAATCATAATTTATTCGGACAATTTTAAGTGCTCCTTGGATTTTGGTAACTTCAATTTCTAATCTGGTGATGAAGATCTAAATGGTAGTACATGCTTATATGAACTTATCTGATGTCCTGGACAGACTTTGCAACCAGAGTTTTGGTGATTGATCAATTATTCATTCTTGTAACTTGGATTTTTGGAGCAGATTCATCTGCACAAATCATGTGGAAATTAGCTCCTTTTAGGCTGCCGTTCGGTAGTTAGATTTGAGAACTCCTTTAATGTACGGAAAACGGAGTGACTCATTGCATATAATTAATTAAGTATTAGCTATTTTTTTTAAAAAAAAATAGATCAATATGATATTTTAAAACAGCATTCGTTATTTTTTTAGAAAAAAAAAACCGTTTAGTAGTTTAGAAAAAGTGCAAAAGTGAGTTGGGAAAAAGTTAACCTTCCCAGAGTTTGTGACTGTCAGTGTTCATTTCTTTTTCTTCCTCCTCTCCTCTCGTTCCTTTCTTTCCATTTTCCCAAGCCGGTCAGCACTCAGCAGTCACAAACCATGCGCCGGCGAGCTTGGCTGCAGCTCCACCTGCTGAGAGTCTAGATCAAGTAACGTTTTTGCTTTGCCATTGTGTTGTGCATACATTTTGCTTTTAGAGAATTGCAAATATAGCACTAGTTTCCCAAACATGGAAAAGCCATTAACAAATACACAAACCGTAAAGTTGCCACTGAAGTTAGTTTCTTTTTTTTTTTAGGAACCGACAACAGGAGTTACTCCTGCCATAATTTATAGAAGAAGAGAATTGGCCCAATTAATAAAGAAAACTGGGCCCAAAAACCAAACAAGCACGGTTAATTAAACGGAAAACTGGCAAAAACCTATACAGAAAAGGAAAAGAAACAACTAAAAAGACCTCACAAAAGTCGTCGTTACCAAGCTTACCGAAAGGCAAGCAGCTTCGACAACATAAAGCAAACGAGGTCTCCAGAACCACCGAACATCCTCTAGTGGAGCATAAACCTTCTGAGCGAAGCCTTCAACAAGGGAGCAACATCAAGGATGTTGTCAACGCCCGTTCCGAAAGGAACCCGGTTTTCACCTGAAGGAAGAGAGAGCCAGCATGACGATACCTCCAAGGAGGAAACGGCGCCGGTAAGCGTCGATATCATCAACCTAGGATAGCACTAGGCAAGGTTTTCACCCGAGGCTCTCTCAAAATGCTCCACTTCCAAACCCTCGCCGCGTTGCCGGGACGTTCATTGAGGGTCATCGTTGCCGAGCTTGCAAGACAAGCAGCTCCGACTCCGCCTCAACAGCCAAACACCCTGCAGCTCGACCAGGGACCGCCTCACACCCAGGAACCCACCCACAGCAAACTAACAACGCGACTGACGACCAGCGAACAGGACGCCGAAAATCCGCACGCCACCCCTACCAGAGAGCTCCTCAGCATCGACTGGAAGCAGCCTAACCTAAGAAGGGAGGAGCATCTAAGAAGAATGGAGCGGGCGCCGCACCGCCAGAGAGCATTGGAGGAACAACCACTGGAGAAGGGGAGAACCGGATCTAGAGGAACAGGAGGGAGGGAGATGGAATAACCACTGAAGAGAGAGGCGCCGTCCCCGCCGCCGGCAAAGGCCGCCGCAGGCCTGCTGCCCCCGGCCAAGACCACGCGGCAGCTGGCGCCGGGGCGCTCTCCGCCGAGAGCCGCCGGCCGACCGAATGAGCTGCCGCCGACCACGCGAGCCGCTGCCGACCCGAAGCCGTCGTCGCCGACGAAACGCGCCGGAGCTACAGGCCACCTGCCAACGCCCGAGGGCGCCGGCGCCGACCGAGCCCGTCGCCGGCCGCGTAGAGCCCCACCGCCGCGCCGCCGTCGTCACCTCGGCCAGATCTGGCGGGGCAACTGGATCTGGCGACGCCATCGCTGGAGTCGCGCAGAGCCCCATCGCCGCGCCTCCAACGCCGCGGAGAGCCCCACCACCACGCCGTTGCCGCGACCTCACCGTACCGCTGCCGCGACCTCGCCGTCCAGCCGCCATCGTCGCCACGCCCGTGCCGGGGCGAGATAGAGCCAAGAGAGATGGCCCTGCCGCCGCCATCCTAGCGCGTCGCCCGGGTTTGCCGTCGACGAGCTCCGGCGGCGGCGAAGCAGGGAGGAGGGAGGGGGAGGGGCGGCAGCGGCTAGGGTCATTCCCACTTAAGTTAGTTTCCATTGCTCTCGTTTATCATTGCCATCTAAACTAGTAAGATTAAAAGGCCAAAAATAGTTATAAATTAAACTAACTTAAAAAAAAGAACATGACAAGACCATCTTACCCCTAGCAAGAATAGACCCTCGCTGCCCCCTCTCTCTTGCGGGCGATGTGCAAGCGGTTGGCGGGAGGGCGGTGTGTGGCGGGCGAACGGACGAACGTCGGGAGGGCGTGCAGACGGGCGCCGTTTGGGAGGATGATGAGATGACGTGCGGCCAGGGGGGCGGTGGGGCGGGAGGGCGTTAGTAGCACGAGCATGGGCAGTAGCATCAGGGCGTGGTGGCAGCTCCCTATGGCAGAAGCAGCAGCAGCAAGCTAGCGAATTGGTTGGACTGCAGCAAGAGCAACAACAATGGCGAGGGGAGGCAACAGCAACAACGGGGAGCAGGGGCATCCTTGTCCTATTTTTTATGAAAACCCATCTTCTAACGGTGTTATTTTCAGCCGTGAATCCAATGGCAAGTATTCCATATTCCAATCATTTTTTATGGTAAACATGCAATTACGTTTTTTTTATAATGGCAAATTCTTGATACCGCTTCAAACCAGTGGCAAATATGCAATTGGTCGTTTGCTTTTTCCCTTCTGGACATCGGTGAACCGAAATTGCTATTTTGCATGCCCTCGTTTCCAGCGAATACTCTCTTCTCTCTTGTAGTCTTCTCTTATCTTTCCTTTTTCACTCAACCTAAAGCCCAACTAATTCATTCAAAGGTTTTTTTTTAATTCATGCAAAGTTAGCCCCAACACCGTGCATTTTATTAGATATAGTCCTAACCGGCAATGTCTTCCAATTATCCCAATTTGCCAACAATAGACAAGCCCTCGAGGACGAGTGGGGATCCTCTGCTGTACTGCATATACAGTAGATGTCACTGACACATGGGTCTAATGTGTTAGCGACACCTATTGTATATGCAGTACAACAGAAGATTTAAGATTTGTATCCCATGAGCATAGCCAGTTGAGGTCACCACCAACAATCCAACATAAGTGTGTTCTTGTCAAGTCCTCAGAGCGAACAATTTTCTTCTTATTTTTCCGGATCCACGTGTCTTCTTATTTTTCCGGATCCACGTGTTCTGTCTCGAGTGCCAATGATGGGAGGCAAATAAACACGTGTGTTTTGTCGAACCTCCCTGTTCGTCGGGAAATGGAACGGTACATTAACACGTGATCAATTAAGTATTAGTTTTTTTAAAAAGTAGATCAATATAATTTTTTAAAGCAACTTTTGTATATAAATTTTTTTAGAAAAAAATACACCGTTTAATAGTTTAAAAAGCATGCATGCGGAAAACAAGGGAGGAGGAAAGTTAGGAACTCTAAGGCTATAGCCAACGCAAGGTATAGCCCCATAAAAAAGGTGATGCCAAGTGGGATGAAACGTGTGAAGGCCATACCACCATCTCATTTCTGTGATTCAGTACCTATCACTTGGTTACATTTTTCATTTAAACCCTTAATTTATTTTTATTTGTATATACGTCCAATATTTACAGTATAACCCCTAAAATCACAAACATATATAAGAATCCACCCCTTCCCGGGCGACGTCGCCTCCCCCGTTGGCTCTCCCTTCCCAGCAGCGCCGCTTCTCCCTTCACTCTTCACCTGGTCACGACGAGCTCAAGCTCCCCTCTCCCCTCAGCACGGATCGAGGCGACAACAGCGGATGGAAGCGCCGGAAGTGGGGATCGATGCGGCGGCGGGGGGATCAATGCGACGACGACGAGATCGACGCGGCGGCACTCGGGGTGGCACATCGGGTCGTCGGTCGCCAGCAGACCTTCCTAGGTAGGCCCTTCTCTCTAGCCTACCTCCTCTCCATCTTCTTCCCGAGCGCAGGAGCAGCAACGGCGCGAGGTGACGGCATGAGGTGAGGCATCTCCCTAACACGGCTCCTGGCTTGTTCCTGGCCTAAAAGCTGACGAAACTACGCGGCCATCTAGGATCACGGCGTTGATGTGACCATCAAGTATATGCATATATCCAAGCATGAGAAATATAAAACATGGCCAAAGAATACATCGAGTGAACGGAGGATCTACAAGATATTAAAGTCCAATGAGTTTTGGAATCCAGTTCGGCCTCCGGAGACAGCACTGACTTCAAACGGACCTAGCGTTTTCATGCCAACTCTGATTTGGATGATCTTGGACTTCGTGGAAAGCTTATCTCGCTACCTTTCAAACGCATCTGGTCTCATGTCTAAATTCATCTCGAGTCAACGGGAATCGCCAAAACAAGACAGTGCTGTTGCTGAAACCAAACTTGGGCCTTAGGCCTTGTAATAGACTAGACCCATCTCGGAAGTGTCTCCCTCCATCTCCACGAATTAGCACTTAACCCTAGCTTTATTTTCCTTGAATTTTGCCAAGTGCCATTCACCTTGTCTCTAGTCCTCGTTCGATTAGCCGGCGACTATAGATTCAGAGCCTCCAATAGTTGGTGTGTTGATTTGCCGGGTCGATTAGATCTACCACTTCAATCGCAACTATTTCTTTGTGCTAATTACCTATTTGCAATATTTAGATTGCATCTTATCTTGTTCTTGCAGTGTTCTCTCGTTTGCATTGCAGGGATCATCAACCGCGCGTCATGGTTGGTACAACATCGTTTGTGGTGTAGCGATTGCACGATATTCTGGACTTGTTCTGGTTGGTAGCCACGTTGCAAACGTCGCGCTCGATCAAAGCGAGAGTTATCCTCTCACCAGAAGATCGGGCCATAAGAGAGAGTGTCATCAGGTTTTATAGGGGGTGCGGTCCCGATTGAACTGGCA